GAATCAATAAAATTGATAGGGAAGAATTCCTGAGACCCGGAACTTCAAGAACAAGAGGTCATAGATTTAAACTAACGAAACAAAGCTGCCGGAGAAATATACGAAAAGTCACTTTTGTAAACAGAGTGGTAGACGGTTGGAACAAGTTAAGTGAGAAGGTAGTGGAGGCCAAAACCGTCAGTAATTTCAAAGCATTATATGACAAAGAGTGCTGGGGAGACGGGACACCACGAGCGTAGCTCTCATCCTGTAACTACACTTGGGTAATTACGAGAGTTCATAGTGGGAGAAGCTAGCAACTAGTGGGTTGTCTGGCTGGCAAAGGTCAATATTAAAATCTTCTGTTAGTATTTGATGAATTTTGTTAAGTTTGTTATTTAATATTAAATATATAAGGTTAGTTGAATTCAGTTACATCTTTGGTATTCTGTAGACTGCTTCCAGTGTTAAGTAATTATTAAAAAAGACATCAAACTGGGGAGAGACTAACACGATCAGTGTCCCTGGATATTCAAAGGGGCTAAATATCACTTAAGATGCCATTATGAGAACAAAAGAACACAAGGAGAGTGATAGTAGAGGTGTCGGATTCAAGTAACAAATGACCTGCAGGGACAGCTGGAAAGTAAGATACAATCTTACTTTAAGTAAGCGAGATAAATCAGTAAGAACAATAAGAAGCAGGGCAGTGTTCCATTAAGTACCTGTGAGTTAAGTGTGCATGTCCAATATGTAACCTGCCCAGAATTGTTTGCCACCATTTATTACAGTGAAGGCCAAGGAAATAGGCAGGGGCAACCTTTAAATGTGTGCAATTTGTTACCTGTAATACTAGACCAATGACCCTGCCAATGGTCTCAGTTTGAGGAATGAATGACTGGGTAGAAATCTGAATAAGGAAGGCCTTTTTGGGAATAAGACAATTGCTGATAGCTTCCTTACCAGCAGTGTCCACATATTCATTGAAGGTAATACCAACATGGATGGGAACCCAGCAAAATTTAACCATCTTAAATCTACTGCTTAAATCAGCTAATATTGGATATCGACAGTCACAGGATGCATGGGGTTAAATGACTCCCGAGCCATAAGAACACTGGGAAAGTCGACCACAATGACAAAGGAATGTTGACGTCGGAAGAACGGTTGACGAAGAGCATACAATTCGGCCGTGAAGATGCTAGTCTCCAAAGGTAGGTGGCACCTATAGGTTTGGTCAGGAATGACTACATAACCAACACCACTGAGGGAGATGACAAAGCATCTCATAATGAATACCATTTGAGTTTGACACTGTAGAATTGCAGAGGGACTGAGCAGATTTGAGTTCTGATTGAAGAGATCATTATAGGGAAGCTGTAGTTAAGTGCAAAAGTCAAAGGGACAAGATTCATTAAGAGGTTTGTGATTGAGGAAAGTAGGAGGAAGACAAGTACCAGAGCTAACAGTTAAAAAATGCAAAAAACACGATCTGCCATTATAGAACCACAGAAAGGGAGACAATATATCTCAACAAATTTACTGGAAATCTTCCAGATTTTCTTTCAGATCTGAGCGAGTTAGATGTCAACCATAATGTGGAGATATGAGATTTCCAACTCTCATGCTTAGCTGTATGGATAGCCCTACAGACCACTGCACCCACCCTCCAAAATAAAGTAAAAAGAAACATTGTTTGTTGACTTTTGTGCCATTTTTTCTGGCAGACTTATGCATGCCCAAGGAGGTATAACAAGGAACAGAGAGCAGGGCAGTATCTAATATGGTATCATGAAAAGGGAGGTGGGTTCGAGGGGAAGGCAGATTAGATAGGGTGAAAAGAGCAGCATGAAGGGCGAGTAGATTCCAGTTCACCTTATCAAACCAAACCTCTAATGAGGGAAAGAGGAAGGCAGAAAGAAATGAAGGTTATGAGGATGGGGAAAAGTATATAAAAAACCTTGCACATGTCTATATACTATACAATAATTAGAATTCTAGAGGAGCAGAGTGAAAGAGCAATACAAGAAAGGTCGGGAATGTGAGCCTGCTAGCTAGATTTCAGAAAACAATGAAAAGTAACATGAAAAGCATATGGAAAGCCATCTTTAACATCCTACAATCTAAACAATCGCATAAAACTCTCCAAGGATGATTACACACACTTGCATCACTTAAAAATGGCCCTTGACAAAAATGAGTTCCCAATTGGGCAGATAGAAGTCTCTAAGGAAGATAATATCAGATACTGTACTAGGTTTGCTAGGTTATAAAGGCTGTTCTTGATTTTGTGTATCTGCTCTGTGAATTCTTCAAGTTTTGCATCTGGTGGTTTGTATATTAGAAAAACAGGTTTATTTTTCCTACATTGATTCAAAGTACCTCTACCATCTCATTGGTAGAGGTTTAAAAGCTCTGTGCATACCAGTTCCTCTAATATACAGACCTACTCCATTTGACCACAAACTTGGCCTAGTCAGAGACTTTGCCATGGGAACGTTGATTTCCAGAAGCAACACAAGTATATGCAAGTCAATTGCATTAAATTCTGAGGAGGGCCATTTATAAAAAAAGAGGCCTTTTCTTATTTTTATTAGGCCTTTTATGTTAGAAAAGCTAAAGATATTTTGTTGTGCGTTATTTCCACAATGCAATCATGATTTGTTGATCATCTAGTGCACTGTATTTATCAATGTATGACAATTTGTGCTTTATGTCAATACTGTACAGTATTTGAATGTTGCCCAAATAAGTCCAATAACTCAGTGGTGTCTCCAGAGTCATAGGTTATCTTGAGATGATTTCGGGGCTTAGCATCCTCGACCAGGCCTCCTTTTTGTTACACATCCCCAGGAAGCAGCCTGTAGCAGCTAACTCTCGGGTACCTACTTACTGCTAGGTGAACAGGTACATCAGGGTGAATGAAACCCTGCCCATTTGTTTCCGCCGGGGATCGAACCCGGAACCTTAGGAATACAAATCCTTGAGTGCTGTCCACTCAACTGTCAGGCCCCGGTGGCTACAAAAATCCCAGTATCAGGTTACAAAATAACTTTAGGTCAATGTTTCTTAATTCCTGGTCTCTCATAATATGCTGAATATTGCATTTACCTGGGTCAACAAAGATCTTCATTATATATTTATTTTGGTATTTTGGGATAAGTTGGTCTGGCTCCCATCACAACATGCAGCTGATAAATGCTAGAGGTAATGTATACGTACCACCATTTAGGTCAAAATAAGGTTAGATACATGATTAATTTGTTCTACAACTTTGAATTCAGATCTATCATTTCATAAGATTTTTGTTTTTTTGTTTTGTTGTACATGAGGCGGTACATGTACAGGGAGCCGGTCGGCCGAGCGGACAGCACGCGGGACTTGTGATCCTGTGGTCCTGGGTTCGATCCCAGGCGCCGGCGAGAAACAATGGGCAGAGTTTCTTTCACCCTACGCCCCTGTTACCTAGCAGTAAAATAGGTACCTGGGTGTTAGTCAGCTGTCACGGGCTGCTTCCTGGGGGTGGAGGCCTGGTCGAGGACCGGGCCGCGGGGACACTAAAAGCCCCGAAATCATCTCAAGATAACCTCAAGATAACATGTAGTTAAAAAACTTTGACAATAGTCACACTTTGAGGGTTAACATGTCTCTTACAGCACTATCTCATACCTGAGTGTGCAGTGGTTTTAGACTTGCTTTGTCTAGCATGGGTAGTTGCAGTGGTATATGGTGTATTAGTTCTTTTATGCTTTAAAAATGACTAACAACACCACGGGACCAGCCAGAACGAACCTTTGTTACTCGCCAAAAGTATATCTTGATATAAAAAATTACGTACTGCTAGATGTATCAAAAAGAATTAAATTTCTTCAGGAAAACCATTTCCATATAATTATGCTAGATACTTTCTTACTAAGACAGTGTTTCAAGTTTTAAACTAGTGCAAACAATATTACTAATTACCAGACAAAATGTAAATGTTTATAAACACTTGTATTCAACTTCCAACTTCTGCCAGTCCAATTCAGCATCTATTTTTGCTTCCAATAACTTCATGTCATCTTCACGTTGATTGGTTAGAGCTTTTTCAAACTGGTCATTTTCCAATGTCTGGTAAGATAAACATTTATTTATTGATTCATACGACATATTCTGGAATGTAGCAATGTTAGAAGGAATCATGCATGTTCAAGTGAGGTGATGGCACCATGATCCCCCCATTAATTTGTATTTGTGTTGTCACAATACAAATTGTTGCCACTTCAGGTATTGTAATCACCACTGTAGGCTAGGGCTCAACCCTGTTAAAGAAGTGGAGGGTCGGTTGAGGTAGTCAAAGACAAAACCTGGTTTGGGCCTACCACAGCCAGAGATATGGAGTCCGATCTTCCATCACAGTCCAACTAGGGGGCCTGGTCAAACAACCCAGGAGTCTGAGAAGAGGAAATATGATCAGAATTATACATATAAGTAATCCATGAAAGACTTCACTGCTCAATACCCTCACCCACCATGGATCCCAAGGGGAGGCACAAGCACATGGGCAAGCAACCTTAGGGGTAACTGAAACACTACACATGGGTCACCATTAGAGAGCAGAACAGTATTCCAGGGACCGACTAGGGATACCACCTCTACAATGTCCACTTGACCTGATGTCTGTCTAGGCGGGCTAACCAGAGGAGCAGATTGATTCAGGTGCACAGCAGTGAACTTCCCATTTTATCCCTAGCCTGACTCCCTTAGAGACCGCAGTCGCTGGGGAGACTCGACTCCCAGTTGAAAGAATATCAGGAACTGTACAAGTCTCCATACACGGCTAACAGACAGGGATGTATTTAACTTGTGCACCGCCACAGCAGGCAAGAGAACCACCCCTTACTACCCGCAGGTGGAGCACAAGAGCCGCTCACCACACAAGGCACCATCCACCGAGGGGAGCATGATACATATAAGAGTAAAAATCAATGGTAAACATAAAATTTGATTTTGATTTCATTAAAGATTTATTAAATACTAAATTTGATTAAAGATTTTATTATATATAGTGGCACAATAAACTCAGAACCTGATGTATCTAAGAATATATTATGATGAATGGGACTGAACTAGCATCACTGAACTCTCCAGAAACACACACTGTACTATTATAGGTTTAAAAGAATCTCAACCAGAAGTTCTATTAGACTTACAGTACTTGGTATTTGGAAGACACTATCAAGTATCCCCATTTACGAGATACCCGTCCACACCCAGGCATCGATAATGACCTTTCACATCTTGTGCCAGACGTAATGCCCAATGAAGTCACAATAAGGTGACGAATGAGAAAATATTATAGGAAGGGTACAGTGGGTAGTGTTTCTGGATAGTCCAGATTCAGTTCAATCCCAGCCATTGCCATAATATTTTCTCATAAATAATAGCAAGAAAAGATGTACAATATTATAACATTACTACAGTCTAAAAAATATTTGGAAGAAAAAAAAAAAAAAAAAAAAAAAAAAAAAAAAAAAATTGCTAAGGGCTCTATCTTAACTCATTTTCATAGTGTAATTTACAATCTATATTGTAGGTTTTTCTTAATAACTTACACAAACATTCTTGCACCATATCAACTTGGTCAGGTGGACAATAATCATCCAGGCTTGACCGAGCAACGGTTATCACCACCGGTGGTGGAAGTGATGCCACAAGCTTGCATGTCACTTTCATCAGCATATCAATTTCTTCTTTAGAGGAAACATGATGAGGAAGCTCATGGTTATCATCATCACACGTGCATCCTGCATCATGTACCAGCTCCCAGTCAATGTCACCTCCATATTCACCGGCCAGGTCCTGAATTAATTGGACTACAGATTTTCTTTTCACTACATCCTCTATATTTTTGCATATATTTTCAACCTTACTCTGATTAAGCTTTATATCTTTCAGTTCTTGAAGATTGAGAAATATATTTTTTAGCAATTTTATCTGTTCACTTCGTTTTCTCATCTGAGTATCTACAATGTCACTTTCCTGAGAATCAATGAAGCTAAAACTATAAATTTCTTTCAGCCTTCCATACATACTGACTTTGTCATGCATTGCAACAAAAGGATTCATTGTGCTAAAAAAATCCAAATCAACATCTAAAATATAATTTTCCCCGTGCTCTTGTATCAGTTTCAGAGCAAGATGCTCCACCTCTACATCCGGTTCAAATCCCAATGTCTCAACATAGAGGTTCACTTCTTTAGTATCCTCCAGGTTATCTGCTTTACAATACAACAATTCACTAACAAAATATAAAATAGGACAAGAAACCCTGATATTGTCAGTACCCCTTTCCTTTCCAATGAGGAACTTGTAACTACCATTCTCTATCTGGTTTGACCATGGTGGTTTAATCCAAAAAATTGAGGAAATTTGTCCCGTAAATGTAGCCACAAGAATCCAATTTTCAATACTCAATTTTTCAATCATAAGAGGAACATCATAAACCTCTGAAGCTTTGAGCTCAACAGGAATAAGTAAGTCTGGGTGGGAATCAAAATGGATAAGTAAATTGTTGGTAAATGGGAGATGTTTAGAGCCTACAGCACGCAAGATATGATATAAAGCATCGTGGTGATCTTCAACAATATGAACTGGGATGCTAGGGTACTTCTTGAGGAGAGCCATTTTCTTCATCCTTATTTAGATTGTTGAATAAAATTAATTTATCAACTGAAGGCACCAAGCTGGGAAGGCTGTTTAGCAGCATCCATGGAACTGAATGAGATGAGACTTCCTCTGCTTCATCCTCCTGAAAAAAAAAAATAAACATAATAATTTTTAATCAAGTACTGTACATACATACATAGGACATAAGAAGAATGTGCAAATTATGGGTAGGGCAGGTACAGTCGAGTAAAAGTATTCCTTTACCCACCAGCTTCCTGAAAAGTGCAGAATGGCAATGCTGTATTTGTTGCTGTAGTAGTAGTATTGGGTTAGATTATGAATAAAAAGGGGCTTTGTAACAATGAGTCTCATTGATCAAAACACCACTCACTTGTTTACATAATTCTCTCTGCCATTTACTGTATAAGAAAATACAATACGGCAATGAATAAAAATAAATACAGGTATTTAGATTTGTGACAAAGGGAGATGGCCCATGTGTGCTTATTAGCTTATTGACCTTTCATGTAAATGATATATGTATTATAATGTTACGTATATATTGGCATTTTGCTGTTGAAGCAGAGACGACGGTGCGTCATACAAATCGTCATTGGCCATCACTCAACACAAAACATTTTTTCAAGTTCAAAGCGGTCTGCAAAAATTTATGTATGTGAATGTAGTTGATATACAGTACTACAAGAGGCTACTTGTAATTACCTAAGTGTAGTTACATGATGAGAGGTATGCTCATGGTGTCCTGTCTTCCTAGAACTCTGTCATATAATGCTTTGAAACTACAGTACAGTGGTACCTCGGAATGCGAGTGTCCCTGTATGCGAGTTTTTCGGAATGCGAGCAGGATTTCCTCGGAAAATATGTCTTGGAACGCGAGTTTGTTGATACTGTACACGTACAGGCCGACCCAGCGCGTGGTGGTTCGGCGATCGTCACCCCTCCGCCCCTCAGTTTACCATTGTCTCGCGCCCAGTGATTACCCCACATCAATTCTTCTCGCAGATTTTCAGGGTTTTGTTGGATTTTTGGTGATTTGACTATACAATTTGTTATTATATATCTCACCATGGGTCCCAAGAAAGCCAGTGGTAAGGATAAAGGTCAGAAAGCCCATGTGAGGATGACAATAGAGGAGAAACGAGATCATTCGGAAGCATGAGAACGTACACATGTTGTTGAACTTTGTAGGCAGAACAACAAAGCCACATCAACAATATGCACTATACTTAAGAAGAAAAATGAGATTATGAGTGCTAAAGTGGCAAAAGGAGTCAGAACAATAACGAAACAAAGACCACAAATACTTGAAGAAGTGGAAAAGTTGTTATTAATTTGGATACACGACAAGGAGTTAAGGGGTGATAGTGTTTCGGAGGCCATTATTTGTGAGAAAGCCAGGGTTTGGACAGATTTGTGGTGAGGAAATCAAGCAGTGAGCCTCAACCAGGACCTAGTGGCACTCATATAAAACGTCCCAGGGAGAGCACACCAGAAAGGTCCTCACTGCCTGATGTGATAATGGAAAGGGACTCTCCTTCCAAACAGTAACTCCTCTCCTCCTCACCATCTTCCATACGCCTACAGCATTCAACAGCAAGGTAAGTAATAACTTGAACATAGTTTTGTAGGTTTATTTAGATGAATTAGGTATAAAAATTTAGTTTGATGTGGGGTTTTTGGGGTAGTCAGGAACGGATTAATTCATTTCCCTTTGTTTCTTATGGGGAAATTAGCTTCGGAATACGAGGCGTCTCCAGGAACCAATTAAACTCTTAAACTGAGGTATGCCTGTACTGATTTTGTGGCCCCCACTACCTTCTCACCTAATTTGTTCCAACTGTCTACCACTGTTTGCAAAAGCGAATTCTCTTATACAGTACAGTACTGTATTTCTTTGGCAGCTTTGCTTATTTGTTTAAATCTATAACCTCTTGTTCTTGAAGTTCTAGGTCTCAGGAATTCTTCCCCATTAATTATATCGATTCCTGTTATTATTTTTCTTGTACGCAGTGATCATATCTTCTATCATCTAGTTTTGGCATATTTATGCCTCTAACCTTTCCTCATAGCTCTTGTCCTTAAGTTCCGGGAGCCATTTAGTTGCATGTCTTTGCACCTTTTCTAGTATGTTGATGTGCTTAAGATATGGTCACCATACTACCTCTGCATATTTCAGCCTTGATCTAACAAAGGTCGTGACTATTTCTTTAGTATTTCACTATCCATGTATTTAAAAGCAATTCTGAAAAAGGCTGCATGCGGCCTTTTGCAAGCATGCCTGTGGCCCGCACAAAGGATAATGTTATTTGGTAAATAATATAGAAAAAAATATTCTGCAATAATTTTTATTAAATGACTTCAATTAGTTGTTGTGTCTGGCCCTCATGGTAACACAAATGTGACCCATATGGCCCTTGGGAGGGGGGGGGAGGTCCCTCAGTTTGGGGCCATCATGACATGCCTGGTATAGAGCATGTGCTCGGGAACCCTCCTCACGGCTCCTACGGATTTTCTCGACTACCATATTTTTACTTATTGCACTCTTTACTGTAATTATGCTAGTTCCCAGCAAACCCTAATTACAGTTATTCATTATCATTTAGTTAAGTTATTTCACTATGTCACTTTATATACCTGTTATAATTTACTGTACTTATCATTTTACTTTTACTTACTATATTTAAGTAGATTTGCTTAATACAGTATATTAATTAAATACAAAATTTAGCTCAGTGTCAGTATCAATCACCTTACCCAAAAATGCCAAAAGCAGCCAGCTTCTTGTTCTAGTTGAGGCCAGCAGTGTGTTAGTGCCCCTTAGGTAAATCAGCTACAGTGGCACCTCGCCATACGATTGCCCCTACTTACGATAATTTTGAGTTACTATGTAAATTTCATCGAAAAATGTGACTCGACATCCGATGGCGTTGTCAACTTACGATATCTGTTAGTACACGTTCGGGTCGACTGAGCGCGTGGTTCCCGGTCATGCGGCCGACCTGCCTCAGTTTATTACAGCTGCCCGCTTAGTGACGATCGCACCTATAAGAAATTTCGCTTTTGTGGTGATTTTTTGCATTTTGAACATTAAAATAATTATTATATATCATGCCATGAGCCCCAGGAAAGTCAGTGGTAAGGCTCAACATATGAGATCTCATGTAAGGGTGACCATTGAGCAGAAACAAGAGATCATTCGTAAATATGAAGATGGTGTGCGGGTTGTTGGACTGGCTAGGCAGTACAACAAATCTCAGTCAACGATATCCACCATACTGGCTAAGAAAAAGGTCATTATGGGTGCTAAAGTGATGCATCATTACAGACAAATGTTAAAACGTAGGGAAAAACAAATGTCTCTTGACAAATTTGTAGCGAGACAAACAAGCACTGAACCACAACCAGGTCCTTAGTGGTATTCAGGCAAAACGTAGGAGAGAGAGTACCCCAGAGAAAACATCACTGCCTGATGTGATAATGGACGGGGACTCCCCTTCCAAACAGTAACAACTCTCCTCCTCCCTCCTCATCACCATCTTCCATACGCCATCAAGAATCCTCAATAAAGGTAAGATAAAGTTAGGTACTGTATTGTAGTTAGAAAAAACATTGTATTCAGTATAAAATGTATTTGTATGTTAATATTTTGGAGGGTGGGGAACGGATTAATTCAATTCCCTTTATTTCTTATGGGAAAAATCGCTTCGACTTACGATCCGTCTCTGGGAACGGATTAACATCGTAAGTCGAGGCCCCATTGCATTTACCTGAGGATCTCGATATAAGCCATACGGGTATGAATATTATTAACCCCAAAAAATAGTTAAAAATAGATTCTGCATTACAAACCTGCTCACATTTTTGGAAACGGTAACCAGCTACTCGGACAATGAGGATGTAGTATACAGTACATGGATTTTGCTAAAGCCTTTGATAAGATACCACACGAAAGACTGGCAAGGAAATTACAGGCACATGGAATAAATGGTAGAATATGAGAATGGATAAAACAATGGTTAAAAAAAAGTCATGCTAAATGGGAATGAATCTGTCTGGAGAAATGTGGTGAGTGGGGTACCACAGGGACCTATTTTTGTCATATACATTAATGACATAGATGAGAATATTACATACCACATCATCAAATTTGCAGATGACACAAAGATTTATGATAAAGTGGGAAATGATATTGATATTGAAGCCTTACAAAGAGATCCACATGAACTTTACAAATGATCAGAAAACTGGCAAGTGTTTATTAATATTTTGAGATTTTTTTTTTTTGAGATATATACAAGAGTTGTTACATTCTTGTACATATTGATAAATACAAGACCTTGCATGTGGGGCATAGCAACCCACGCCACAACTACCAAGTTAATAACTTCACATTACAACAGATTGATGAAGATATGGACCTTGGAGTCAAAATCCACCACTCACTAAAGAGTTGCACAACAGGTGGGAACAGCAGTCAAAAAAGCTAACCAAACGATTGGAATAATGAAGCACACGTTTGACTCGAGGGAAAGAAGGTAGTGATTCAATTGTATAAATCTCTGGTACTAAACTAGTGGTCTGGACACTAAACTAATTTGGATTACTGTATCAAAGCATAGAGACTTCATCTTCAGAAGAACACAGCTGCTCTGCTAAATGTGCAGCACCAGGCAACAAAAATAATTCCAGAGCCATGTCAACTCTCGTATCAGGAACGGTTGAGGGTCACAGGGCTAACAACACTACAAACCAGACATGACAGGGCAGATCTCATTGTAACTTTTAAAACACCGAACAATTTGGAGGATGTTGATTCGGACAATTTCTTCAGAGTCAGATGCAACACAAAGAAGGAGCAACGATTTCAAGCTCAACAAGCCGCAATGTTGGACTGAGAACAGGAGATGCTTTTTTACTAACAGGGTTATTAACCCATGGAACCATCTATCCGTCAAAGTTGTAAATGTCAAAACTGCTAAAATTTAAAGTGGAAAAGATCATCAATGCACTTTGATAAGCTGCCAGCTTCCTGTCCTTATTGTGGCCTGCAGGTAAATTCAGTTCAGTAAATTGTAAGACACTGACACCTGCCTGGCGTTTCACAAACTCTTTGTCCTGGGTGAGTATCCTGGCCGGGGAGGATTTACTGGATGTCAATCCTTAACTGTAGCCTCTGTTCACCCAACAGTAAAATGGATACCTGGTTAAACGATTTGACGGGTCGTATTCCGGGGAATATTAAGATTATGGACCTGCCCAAAATGCTATGCGTGCCAGTGGCTGTACAAGAATGTAAGAACCCTTGTACAGTATATATTGTATAAAAAAAAAATAAATAAAAAAAAAAAAAAAAAAAGTTAACTGGCTAGTAGCCACTAACATGCACAGCGTTTCAGGCAGAATTTTCATTTCCCATAAATCTTCAGTGTCATATGCAAATTTGATGATTAGTTTGAAATATTATATGTTACTGGTGTATATGAGAGTGAGAGAGTTTATGTTTAAGATCAGATCAGGTAAATTCAGGTTAGGCTTATATCAAGATCCCCCAAAGATCAAATTACTGACCCCACAACAAGCTGACTTAACTCCTAAGCACCTATTTACTGCAGGGGCGAACAGGTGCATTAGGTGAAAAGAAATGAGCCCAACCGTGTCTGTCCCGGCAGGGATTTGAACCCGGAATTCCCGATTGAGAACGAAGCCGACTGTACTACCATGTCTGTGTTAATTTTGCCCATGTTCCATCAATAATGGCTGTCGAGTTAAACAAATACGAAATGTGGGGCTTCAAAAAAAATAATTGACAAAAAATAATTAATAAGAAACAGTGAAAACTGAACAAATGCCTTGGCCCCCAGGCCAGGGGCCCTGCCAGCCTGTGGGCCCAGCCACACCCCGCCAGCCCTCGTCCTCCACCTGCCCGCCACACCACCAGTCTTCACCCACTCACACCACACCGTTCTACACGAGAGAAGACGTTTAAAACTGGAGCCATGGGTGGTGGTCGGCCTTGGTTCAAATTACCTGCTGCTGAGGGTCGCTGGGCTCGGCGCGCACCCGCACCCGCACTCTCACACTCTTCTAACAACTCTTCACACACCTAATACTCCATACAAACCCCTTCAATCACATCCAAAAAGGAGTTATCATATTTTTAATAATTAGTTTTGGTGTTATTGATGTGTTGAGAGTTATGAGTTGAGGTAGATAATGTGGGGAGAGGCGGGGGTGGGTGGGAGAATATTGGAACAGGTTTGCGACATCGACAAAACACATCACAGCTGACCAAGAGGGAGGAGGCTGCTGCTGCTGCTCCTCGCACACACATTATCCTCTCTCCTCCTGGTCCAGCCCAGCCCACCGCCTCCTCCTGCACCTTGATGATGAGCGAGGGACGCGACGCCGACGAGGACGTGCTGGGGGACTACTGGGTGACCTCGTGGGAGCAGCAGACGGTGCAGGAGCTGGAGAGCGAGGCAGACCACCAGCAGCACCTTCACGCAGAGGCCGATGCCGCCACAGAGAAGATGTGGGCCCTCTTTCAGAGTGCTGCTCAGTGTGTGGCTGTCATGTATAAAGGTTTGCCTCGCCACCACCTTCAGCAACAGTTATTTTTGATCCCGGTTGGAATTTGGTGAAATACTCGTTAAATATGGTGAACTGTGGGGGAAGTTTGTGCCCCTCGAGGGCCAGTCCTGCCTCGCGTGTCAGATGTGGATAGTCACCACAGTGGGGCTTCCTTAATGATTGGATTCATAGTGGAGTATTTAAGGGATATAACCATATTGGAAATTTCCCCAAATTAGAGCTAAACAGTCATGCTGTCCCCGTGGTGCAGTGGTAAAGCACTTGCCTGGCGCTGCGTTGAGTGCTTTGGCTTCGGTTCTGGATAGGAATTGACTGGGTAGGATTGACTGGGCACCAATCCTTAACTGTAGCCTCTTTTTACCCAGCAATGAATGTGTACCTGGTTCTTAAACAATTTGGCGGGTCGTATTCCGGAGAAAAATTAGGATTAAGGATCTGCCCGAAATGCTATGTGTGCTATAGTGGCTTTACAAGAATGTAGCAACTCTTGTATTTATATATAAAAAAGAAAAATTCCAATTATTTAATTAAAATTAATTATATTTTCACTTTTATTTTTATATTGGAGTGTTCACCAGTACCAAAGTAGTGGTATAAACATAGTAGGCCTACTGTTCCTTGCATATAACCCTATTAAGGGTGGTTATCATCATATGTTGATTTACATGATTATAGCCTCCCGGTAGTACAGTTCGATTTGTTCTTGACTCAAGGGTGTGAATTTCTGGCTCGAATCTTGTGCGGGACACAGATGGTTGGGTGCATTTCCTATCACCCAATGCACCTATTCACCTAGCAGTAAATAGGTATCCAGGAGTTAGTCGACGTGTTGTGGGGTTGCATCCTGGGGCAGGTCAGTACTTTGACCTTGTGGGGGGGGTGGCGGTGGACTGCAATATAAGCCTAATCTGTATATACACACACTGGCTGCCTGTTCCTTGACACAATGAATTATTATCAAGTATTAACTATGTGAATGCGGTAATCGTATAAAATTCCATCATCTTGAGGTTATCTTGAGATGATTTCGGGGCTTAGCGTCCCCGCGGCCCGGTCCTCGACCAGGCCTCCTTTTTGTTACACATCCCCAGGAAGCAGCCCGTAGCAGCTGTCTAACTCCCAGGTACCTATTTACTGCTAGGTGAAGAGGCATCAGGGTGAAAGAAACTGCCCATTTGTTTCTGCCTCCGCCGGGGATTGAACCGGGAACCTTAGGACTGCGAATCCCGGGCGTTGTCCACTCGGCCGTCAGGCCCTGTAACTTGCAGTCATAATAACAAGATATGTATATCGGTGCTGTTCATGTTGTTTTCTCAACTCTATATGGTTTTAATGAAGTATACCAGAGCAACTACTCATCATTTTGAACATGATAATGATGATAACGGAACTAAACAAGGCCTATTGGCCCATATGAGGCACGCCTCATATGGGCAGGGAGCCGGTCGGCCGAGAGGGAGCCAGTCGGCCGAGCGGACAGCACGCGGGACTTGTGATCCTGTGGTCCTGGGTTCGATCCCAGGCGCCGGCGAGAAACAATGGGCCGTTTCTTTCACCCTATGCCCCTGTTACCTAGCAGTAAAATAGGTACCTGGGTGTTAGTCAGCTGTCACGGGCTGCTTCCTGGGGGTGGAGGCCTGGTCGAGGACCGGGCCGCGGGGACGCTAAAAAGCCCCGAAATCATCTCAAGATAACTTCAAGAAGAAGATAACCTATTTATTGATGTAAAATTTATATAAAATCCTACCAGAAATCAAGCTTTGAATGGAATGGTAATGTACAATTGTGGGGACAGGAGATACACAAAATGATGAAGCCACTTTTTTACCTAAGCGTTTCGGGCAAATTTTTTAAAAATTGGGTTAAGGTGTTTGGCATGAAGAGCTCGTGGATGATGGTAGGCTGGCTGAGAGTTTGGGTGACAATAGCTATCATCTGGCGGCAGTCAAGTGCATTATTATTAGGATATTTACCCCACATAATCAATCTTTTCCATTTTTATCTGGTGGCTAATTTCCTTAACGCCAAGCATGCAGTCACCGTCATTTGTCCAACTCCTGGGCCACTGCAGTTATTGTTACTTGCTGATTTTATCATTATTACCTGGTTTTAATATTGGTGATTTAACTATAGTTATAATGCATTTATATAGAGGTAGCCAAAACTCATGAGCAAATTCTGCTATAGTTTTACATTTGCTTACTATGCAAAGAGGGTATCATGTACTGTATTAGGGGCCTGTGGTTATCATCAAATAATGATTTGGTCTTTACCACTATGCATAGACTACATTCCCAGACATAATTGCAGTCTGTCCTAGAAACAGATTAACATGCATTGTATGCATACATATTACATTGTACACCTATACATTATATACTGTACTCAGTCACACTTTTGTCATTTAAATGTATGTACAGTGTATAAAGTTCAACACAAACCCTAGTGTATAAACTAATAAGTGAAGTAACGAACAGAAGCCATCGAAGTTAAACATTAGAGTACTCTCCCATGCATCACGCTCTTGGCAAACAGTGTACAGTGACACCTCGGCTTACGAATGCCCCTATTTACGAACTTTTCGGGTAATGAGCTCAATTTTTTCGTAAAATGTGAATCGGCTTATTTGCCTCGAGTAACGTAGTTTGTTGATATGCGTATGGGCTACTTAGCGTGAGGTTCCTGGTGGCACGGTCGCCCACGCTTCAGTTTATCAGTGCCTCCCGCTTAGTGACAATCGCGCTTGAATTCTTTGTAAAGAATTTCATTGTTTTTCTGCTTTTTTTGGGTTTTGAACATGAAAGTAATTATTATACTGTATATCACACCATGGGTCCTAAGAAAGTCAGTGGTAAGGTTCAACCTAAGAAAACACATGTGAGGATGACCATAGAGCAAAAACAAGAGATCATTCGTAAACATGAAAATGGTACACGAGTTGTTGAACTCGCTCGGCAGTACAGTACAACAAATCTATGTCAACTATATGTACTGTAACTGCTAAAAAAATGACATTATTAGTGCTAAAGTGACAAAAAGCATATCAACAATCACGAAACAAAGAACACACACACTTGAGGGTGTTGAAAAGGTGTTATTAATTTGCATACACAACAAGGAGTTAGCAGGTGATAGCATTTCAGAGGCCATCATTTGTAAAAAAGCAAGGCATTTGCATGAAGACCTTATAAAGAAAACCCCTGGAATAAGTGATGCAGATACGAAAGAGTTTAAGGTGAGCAGGGAATGGTTTGAGAAATTTAGAAAAAGAAGTGGCATTCAGTGTTGTGAGTTGGTTAAGGAACACACCGAAGAACTGACCGCCAAAGAACTCTTCACAAGGAGCAGCAACAAGAAACAGCTGAGGAACTTCAGGGGAAGAGGAGGCAGTACAGAATGTCCCTTCCTCGACAGTTAAGAAGTGGTGTGGACTATGGGAAGAAATGCAAACTTTTGTTGAAACAACTCGCCCAGAGCAAGCTGTAGTAGGCCGTTGCCTTAACCTTTTCAATGACACTGTGATGTCTCGCACTACAGACAAGTGTTACAATGTAGGGAAAGACAAGTCTATGGAAAGGTTTGTAGTCAGAAAAAGAAGCAGTGAGTCACAGCCTAGTGGTATGTAGGCAAAACGTAGGAGAGAGTGTACCCCAGAGAAGTCATCACTGTCTGATGTTATAATGGAAGGGGATTTCCCTTCTAAACACAAACACCTCTCTCTCTCTCCCTATCCCCTCTCCTTACTGTCTTCCATATGCCAACAAGAGTCATCAATAAAGGTAAGCTATAACATGTACATACTATAGTACTAAATATTTGTGTGAATTAGGTATGAAATCTATTTTGAAGTTAATATTTTAGGGAGTGTGGAACGGATTAATTCAATTTACATTATTTCTTTTGGGAAAATTTGTTTCGAGTTGCGAACTTTTAACTTGCAAACCGTCTCTGGGAATGGATTAAATTTATAAACGGAGGGACCATTGTATCTGGCATCGATGTATATACTGAACCCTGTACACACCAGCAAACCATAAAAGACAGTGTTTATTCTCTCAATTATCTTGAGGTTATCTTGTGATGATTTCGGGGTTTAGCATCCCCGTGGCCCGGTCTTTGACCAGGCCTCCTTTTTGTTACACACTCCCAGGAAACAGCCCGCAGGAGCTGTCTAACTCCCAGATACCTATTTACTGCTAGGTAACAGGGGCATCAACGTGAAAGAAACACTTTGCTCATTTGTCTCCGCCTCCACCGGGGATCGAACCGGAATCTCAGGACTATGAATTCGAAGCGCTGTCCACCCAGCTGTCAGGCACCCTGCAAATTATGTCCATACTGTATTTGCATCATATATCTACAACCCAGACAATAATTGTTTAACCCTTTAACTGCGCAGCCTATAAATATGACACCCCCCCCCCCCAGTGCACAGGAAATAAATTATCTTGAAAAAATTCTTTTGTTTTTTTTTAAAGTGTCAAAAACCCTTCGCTCAGTATGGGTATGTCAAAAAAATTTTGAACTTGTACTTACTTTGGCTGCTATGGGGTCCGTCAGTTGGCGTGTGACGTCATCATTCGTCATTCCCCGTTTGCCCGTGACGTAAGCTCCCGGGGCCGGTGGGGCGCCCGAGTTGCCACGAATATATTTTTGTTCATTTTTTGCACACAGTTCCAAATACATTTTATTTGTTTTTACGTGCTAATCCTATGTATAATGAACACGTACACTATATTATGGCAGTAAAACATCCGTACTGTCCGAGGACATTGTGTTACATGCATGACACTTGTGTACACATATGTTGCACATATTTACCATGTATCATGCTAATTTATGTATATATACAATCTATTTACAGACTATACACTGTCACACACTATATACATTCACCATCAACACAATCAGAACACCGCGAGTGTGAGCTGTCATACTCAGCCAGCCCTCCCTCACTCCTCCAACATTGTATTCGCGAACATTGCTCCTCCCATCATACAGTTATTCACACCAATGTTTCATGTTCATTTATGTATATTTACAACATATGTACACATTATACACTGTCACACACTATATACATTTACCATCAACACAATCAGAACACCGCGAGTGTGAGCAGCCACACCCAGCCAGCCCTCCCTCACCCCAACATCTTACTCACCAACATTCCTCCTCCCACCATACTGTTATTGGTTTTATTACACTATTTACACATGTTATATATACCTATCTATACGTTTTATTTACCAGACCTATGCAAGTAAGCCGGTATTGTGTCCAAACATTACAGTGGCCACCATACACTGCATGGGAAATCACACAGCAGACAGCAGACGACGCTACGATTACGACATCACCTCCCTCACCAAAATAGCTCCTCTCTACATACTCCTCATGCTGTTATTACACTATACACACACACTGTATGTACCCATGTACATGTGTATTCCCCATAGCGAACCACGAAGCTAGTATGGTGAGCAAAACAAGAGTGGCTGCCACACAGTGAGGCTACCTTGAGGTTACCTTGAGGTGCTTCCCGGGCTTAGCGTCCCCGCGGCCCGGTCGTCGACCAGACCTCCTGGTTGCTGGACTGATCAACCAGGCTGTTGGACGCGGCTGCTCGCAGCCTGACGTATGAGTCACAGCCTGGTTGATCAGGTATCCTTTGGAGGTGCTTATCCAGTTCTCTCTTGAACACTGTGAGGGGATTGCCAGTTATGCCCCTTATGTGTAGCGGGAGCGTGTTGAACAGTCTCGGGCCTCTGATGTTGATAGAGTTCTTTCTCAGAGTACCTGTTGCACCTCCGCTTTTCAACGGGGGTATTCTGCACATCCTGCCATGTCTTCTGGTCTCATGTGATGTTATTTCTGTGTGCAGGTTTGGGACCAGCCCCTCTAATATTTTCCACGTGTAAATTATTATGTATCTCTCCCGCCTGCGCTCAAGGGAGTACAGATTTAGACTCTTTAGTCGGTCCCAATAGTTTAAGTGTTTTACTGAGTGGATTCTAGCAGTAAAGGATCTCTGCACGCTCTCCAGGTCAGCAATTTCTCCAGCTTTGAAAGGGGCTGTCATTGTGCAGCAGTACTCCACTCTAGAGAGCACATGCGTTTTCAAAAGCTACCTCAATTCTCTCCCTCCCTCCCTCACCAAAATTCCTCCTTCCACAAAACTGTACTACACTCAATGCTAATTATAACCACAATCCTGGTCACTAATTCCTGTAAATGAATAATTGACCACAAGTTTATTTTGAAAAGGAACCTAAAAAGTCATTTGAAGATTCCTAGATGGACGAAATAATGCTGTGGTGCTGTGGCTAGCGCTGTGAACATCGTGAACAGCATTGAATCACTGATATTTGAACATTGTACCCAGTCATTATCACACTCGGGCTCTTCTATAATACTATCATGGCTAAATAATACAAGTTATATATATATTTTGACAATATTAGGCGATGCTGTGGTCACACGCTGAACAGCAGTGCTGTGCGCTCATACTGCGAATGCCAGCCTTGGTTGCTCACTCACTACTGAGGCTCCCACACCCGGGAATGTGGACCAAGATTTTTTTTTAAGATGGCGTCTGTTTACAAGAGCCCTGAGGAAGCTGATGTGAACCCCATGTAGCTGCGGGAGTTTTGAATGGAATGTGAAAAATACAAATACCCAGTGGCGCGTTGCGCACCTGAAGCCTGGGCCTGCAGGCGCGTTGTGCAGTTAAGGGGTTAAATCGTCATATGATGCTAACCACATTATTCCATGAATCAGCCTATGACGATAACCACTGTATGAATGTTAAGCATTTAGAGTATTCTCTCTATCAGCTTCTAATTTCCTGTCTATCATTTATGTGAGGGGCACTATCTGTGTTGACCTTGATGGGAACAGGAAGCCGGCAGCTTATCAAAGGCCCCTCCATGGTTCCTGAGGGTTTTTTCTATTCTCTTGTGATTATTTTAACATTACCGATTACCTCATACTCCAGCTATGCTGTTCCTTATTTATGTTTGAATTTGCAGGTGCAGCAGACAGCCAGCACTCTATGTGGGTGCCCTTTCAGACTGCTGCTGGTCACATCACTGCTCTTTATAAAGGTATTTTCTTTAAAGAGAATTGATAAACTTTGATAATTTAAGGGTTTTGTATAGTTTGGGGCAACAAATTTGAAAATATTGTTGAGGAACCTGAAATGAATCACTGGCAATTGAGTTTGGTTCCTGGTAGGGTTTCATTAATATTCCATTGTCATTTACTGTATGTATTAGTGGTAACTGTTCTTATATATTTTCCTGTATAATTGTAAACTACTTAAAACGAAGCCTCTTCAAAAGTCCCTGTATTACTTGTAAATGCCTTAGTAGCAGTGGTTGTACACTTACAGTGTACAGCTAACGTAGTCCCAATGTACAAGAAGGGTGACAGGCAAGAGGCACTGAACTACAGGCCAGTTTCCCCAACTTGTATACCATGCAAGGTGATGGAGAAGATCGTGAGGAAAAGGCTCGTAGAGCACCTGGAGGGAAATAACTGTAACGCACCACCAACATGGGTTCAGGGATGGTAAATCGTGCCTCACAGGTTTAATAGATTTCTATGACCAGGCAACAAAAATTAGGCAGGAAAGAGAAGGGTGGGCCGACTGCATTTTCCTGGACTGCCAGAAAGCCTTTGATACAGTATCCTATAAAAGGCTATTAAAAAAGTTGGAGCAACAGGCAGGAGTAAAAGGGAAGGTGCTTCAGTGGATTAGGGAATACTTGAGCAACAGGAAACAGCGAGTAACGGTGAGGGGGGAGACATCAGAGTGGCGAGATGTCATTAGCGGAGTCCCACAGGGCTCAGTACTTATACCCATCCTGTTTCTAATATATGTAAACGATCTTCCAGAGGGTATAGACTCCTTCCTCTCAATGTTTGCTGATGATGCAAAAATTATGAGAAGAATCAAGATGGATGAAGATAGACAGAGACTACAGGATGACCTGGACAAACTGGAGGAATGGTCTAGAAAATGGCTGCTAAAGTTCAACTCAGGAAAGTGTAAGGTAATGAAATTAGGTGAAGGGAGCAGGAGGCTGAACACAAGGTATCATCTGGGAGGTGAAATCCTGCAAGAGTCAAATAGAGAGAAAGATCTGGGGGGTTGATATCACACCGAACCTGTCCCCAGAGGCCCACATCAAAAGAATATCATCAGTGGCATATGCTAGACTGGCCAACATAAGAACTGCCTTTAGAAACTTGTGTAAGGAATCGTTCAGGACCCTGTATACCACTTATGTAAGACCAATCCTAGAGTATGCAGCTCCAGCCTGGAGTCCATACCTAGTTAAACACAAGACAAAGTTAGAGAAGATTCAGCGGTATGCCACCAGGCTCGTCCCGGAACTGAGAGGAATGAGCTACGAGGAAAGGCTAAAGGAGCTGAACCTCACATCCGTGGAAAACAGAAGAGTAAGGGGAGACATGATAACCACCTACAAAATTCTCGGGGGAATTGACAGGGTTACCTTACCTAGAGGTTACCTTGAGGTGCTTCCGGGGCTTAGCGTCCCCGCGGCCCGGTCGTCGACCAGGCCTCCTGGTTGCCGGACTGATCAACCAGGCTGTTGGACGCGGCTGCTCGCAGCCTGACGTATGAGTCACAGCCTGGTTGATCAGGTATCCTTTGGAGGTGCTTATCCAGTTCTCTCTTGAACACTGTGAGGGGTCGGCCAGTTATGCCCCTTATGTGTAGTTGTGACAAAGGGTGGACAAAGACAAACTCTTCAGCACGGGTGGGACACGAACAAGGGGACACAGGTGGAAACTTAGTACCCAGATGAGCCACAGAGACGTTAGAAAGAATTTTTTCAGTGTCAGAGTAGTTAATAAATGGAATGCATTAGGCAGTGATGTGGTGGAGGCTGACTCCATACACAGTTTCAAATGTAGATATGATAGAGCCCAGTAGGCTCAGGAATCTGTACACCAGTTGATTGGCTCTTTGGTCCCGCCTCTCAATTGTCAAAGCTCAACCCCTGCAAGCACAATTAGGTGAGTACAATTAGGTGAGTACAGGTAACCGTCACTTCTGCCACAGACACAGTGCAGTAACTGCACCTGCATGAAGATGTTCCTTTGTTTCATAAGAGCTAAAAACAGGATTGTACTAACCAGACCATAAAGTAAATTATGATTGTCAAATCCCACAAAGATACATTTATAACTGAATACCTTCAAACTGTATGTCTAGAGCACTCGTCAGACATGAAACACACATTAAATGCACTGAATAACCAACCAGCCTAAAAATATCTATAAATATCCTACCACAAGTTGAATACAATTGTTCCATGCCTTTGAGCATACCCAAGTTCAATCATGGCATTAGAAAGTATTCTTTTGTTGACCAATCACATTCACATTATTTATATGCACAGCAATTTTTTAATTTTACAAACAACATATTTTGTTTTATTACCCCAGAAAAGTAAATGTGTGTCAATATTTGACATTCTTGTGTCTTAACTACAAATCAAGACTGTACACCAGAAGACACTGGTAGAAATTGGTAATACAGAAAGAAATTTAGGGATGTAAAGAAATAGAATGGACTAGGAAATGTGATCGAGGCTAACAATACCTGTATATAGCCTAAAAAATATATGGTTCTAAAGGTGTAAACACCTATGTTGAACTTGTTTTAAAAGCCTGCTAAACGCAATGGATTCAGAAGTTAGTTGTTGAGGGTACTGCTCATAATAACTGTTGTATGTGCTCTTTTTATTAGTAAATCTTTTACAGATGCAGTAGAGTCTGTTCGTCGAAGTGGTGAGATTGGCGTCCAGGCTGGATATCAACGTCGCAATAGAGAAGTACTTAATTGGGCTCGGCGGAGAAGACACATTCGTCGGGAAGAATTAATAGCATTCTTAGCGGGGAAACCACCTCCCCACAGAGCCCCGCATTTGAGGTCAGTTGGTGATATTTTTACTTTTACTGTTATTAGTGGTGTTCACAAGTAAGATACTACAAGTATAAAATTATCTTAGAGCACTGAACAGTACCGTATCCAAGGATATTAGTATTGGAAGTTCAAGATTTGCATTTGTATTATGTTCTAACATTTAGTATATAATTACATACAGTATATATTTTAAGACATCTTCAATAGAAGTTTTTTTTTTTTTTTGTAAATATTTTAATTGAAGTATACTTTTACTGCCTTTAGAATGTCTTGTTATATTCACTTTAATGCCACATATTTACCTGAATTTACCTGAGAGCCACTAACACTAGTGGCCTCGAGGAGGACAGAAACCAGTAGGTAGAAGCACAGATCTCCCATTTGCCCTGATAAGTTTTAGCAATTATGGCTTCAACAGGTAGGCAGTTCCATGGGTTTATAACCGTGTGGGTAAAAAAAGGATCTCCTGTTCTCAGTCCTATATTGTGGCTTGTTGCACTTGAAACTGTTGCTCCTTGTTTGTTACATCTGACCTCTTGAAGAAGTTGTCCAGATCAACATCTTCCAAATTGTTCAGTATTTTAAAAGTTTTCAATGAGTTTGCAGTGGTGTTAGCCCTGAGGCTCTCACCTGTTTTTGGTATGAAAGTTGACTTAATTTTGGAATTATTTTTTTTTTGTCGCACTATAATTTAGTGTGTGTTTTTGAGTGTTAAACTTTCTCTAAAGCAGCTATGTCCTTCTAAAGAAGAGGCCTTCAAGCTTGGATACATTAACCCTCAAACCGCTAGGGGCCCAAATGGAATTCACACCCACAGGCGCAACAAAAAAAAATTCCAAAAAATTCTTTCATCTTATAGAAGTGTTCATTTTTGTTCCCTGATCACGGAAAAAATAACAAAAAAATCGTACCCTGATCACGGAAAAAATAACACAAAAATCGTAGGTGGCATATTTTAGCCGCAATAGGGTAGGGAAGTGTGGCAAAAAAGGGGCGTTGACAGAGCCTTCGCCATACGAGGTCTACTCAGCCCGAGCTGTCAGACGGCAGTTGCCACAAATATATTATTACCTAATTATTTCAATGTCTCTGATTTTTTCTTAGTTTTTTTTTCAGTAATATTCCATACAGTGAATTGTGGTATATTTATATAATAAAATGTGTGAACCATTGCTGTACTCAAAATTATGGTGTGCATATTAGTGATTCAATTATGATGTTCGTAAAACAATAAACAAATAGTTTTGCTGTTGTTACACTATATACACAGGTTATATATAAGTATCTGCATGTTTTGTTCACCATAACAAGCTACTAAGTTGGTCTTGTGAGTCAAAAAACAACGAGGAGTGACCGCCAAACACCAGCCAGCCACTCGCTGCCACTCCCTCCCTCAACACAACCTCACTCACCCTCATTCTCCTCCCACAATACTGTTTTTGTATTTATTCACTATACACAGACGTTATATATACGTATTTACATGTTTTGTTCACCATAACTGTATATCTAAGCTTGTATGGTGAGTAAAGGCACAAAGACGTAGCTACTCACACAGCTGATCGGCGGCCGCCCTCAAGGCGAGACGCACTAATATTTCTCCTCCAACAATATTGTTTGTGGTGTTATTACATTATATAAACACATTATATATAAGTATCTACCTGTTTTATTCACCATACCTGTACAAATAAGCTGGTATGGTGCCCAAAGACCATAGTGGCCATCAGTAAACAACATGCCAAGTCGTGCAGACGACGCTCCTCCCTCACCAAAATGGCGGCTCCCAACCTACTCCTCTTGCTGTTATCTCACACTATACACACGTTATATATAAGTATCTACATTTGTGTTCACCATAACGAACCACTAAGCTGGTATGGTGAGTGCAGTCAATAAATGGTGGCCACACACAGTCAGGAGACGACGCCACCACCCTCCCTCCCACAGCATTACTCCTCCCTCCATGGAGCACAGCGCTAAATATCACCACAATCCTGCTATTATCAGAATCCTGGTCAGTTTTATCACAGTCAGGGGGCTTCAGTAATAATATCACTGCTAAATAATAGCAGTATCATATATATTATGGCATTTGTAGGCGATGCTGTGGTCACAAGCTGAACAGTGGTGCTGTGAACTCGTGCTGCGTGCGCCAGCCTTGGTGGCTTGCTCAATACTGATGCTCTAACACCCAAGAATGTTGGCCTGGATTTTTTTTCTAGGTGGCATCTGGCAACTCGGTCGTTGCTGTACTATAGCTGCCCCTATCCCAGGCGGGGCGTTTAAATTATAGCGCTAGACACGAAATCGTATATAAATGATGTGCGCGGTTTTGGTTTTGTCACTGATATCATTTATATATATGATGTGCGCGGTTTGAGGGTTAATCCAAGTGGGGAGTATTTCAACTTTCTGGGATCGAAATTTCTGCCTCTCCTCTCACTGCCGTGTAGTTATTTCTTGTTTGTATTGCTGGTACGTTTGAGGGTTATGTCTCTTCATATATTGACCCCATTTTAATGTCTTTTGGTCTCTGGCCCTCTTGTAATTTCTGTTGAACCACTCTTGTTTTCTAGTTCTGCATCTCTGTTTTTGTATAAATTTTTTGTTGTGCCTTCAGCATATTTTGGCAGACATCCTGTTTACTTCCTTGCCTGACAAAAAGTCTTTCCAATCAAATTCATTAAAGATCTTGCTAAGTCACCCAGGGCATTCTCCTAGCTTGTATTTAGGCTTATCAAGGTTTCCCCTATGCTAACTAATAACCCTTAGCATGCAACCCCCACAGCAGATGCCTAACTCCTGGGTACCTATTTACTGCTAAGTAAACAGTGGCATCAGGTAAAAGGAATCATGTCCATCTGTTTCCATCTGCCCGGGAATTTAACCTGGAACCCACAAGTGGGAGCCGAAAATGGTTCACATTATTTTCCCAGTCATATTTTGAAAAAATTCATCAAGATTTTAGAGTCTTCTTTTTGTACTTGAATAATTGTTCTGATAGCAATATTCCTCCAAATATTTCATTGTTATACTATAATTGAGCCACTGTAAATGGCTGTTCCTAAACACTGTACATCCCTGTCCTGTACAGCAATGGGGGTGCTGTTGTACTTAGTTGTGCTTGCGGGGGTTGAGCTTTGGCTCTTTGGTCCCGCGTCTCAACTGTCAATCAACTGGTGACTTGTTGTGGATGACTGCTTGAGTGTGGTCGTGCATATTTAGCCCTGATGCTATATAGTTAATTCAGTGTGAATGGGGAAAAAATCAAGGGTAGAGATAGCCTAAGCTACTCTATCCTTTTGAGATGTACAGTATTTTATTATCTGAATAAACTTACTTGAAATTGATGTAATAAATGGAGAAGGGATGTTTTTATTTGTTTATACAGTATCTGTATAATCTTCATTCATTATTACTGTATTAATTTTTTTCATTAAGCAAATGAATGCCTCCCATGTATGAGATTGAGAAGTAGGGTAATGATGATGAATTTATAGGTTCTATATTCACCTGTACAGTATTATTCTTCATGTTTATGTGGCACTCTTGACTATATTGATGCTTAGCCCATATAATAAAATACCTGGTTACCTGGTTGATGGGGTTCTGGGAGTTCTTCTACTCCCCAAGCCCGGCCCGAGGCCAGGCTCGACTTGTGAGAGTTTGGTCCACCAGGCTGTTGCTTGGAGCGGCCCGCAGGCCCACATACCCACCACAGCCCGGTTGGTCCGGCACTCCTTTGAGGAATAAATCTAGTTTCCTCTTGAAAATGTCCACGATTGTTCCGGCAATATTTCTTATGCTCGCTGGGAGGACGTTGAACAACTGCGGACCTCTGATGTTTATACAGTGTTCTCTGATTGTGCCTATGGCACCTCTGCTCTTCACTGGTTCTATTATACATTTTCTTCCATGTCGTTCACTCCAGTACATTGTTATTTTACTGTGTAGATTTGGTACTTGGCCCTCCAGTATCTTCCAGGTGTATATTATTTGATATCTCTCGTCTTCTTTCTAGTGAGTACATTTGGAGGGCTTTGAGACGATCCCAATAATTTAGGTGCTTTATTGCGTCTATGCGTGCCGTATATGTTCTCTGTATTCCCTCTATTTCAGCAATCTCTCCTGCTCTGAAGGGGGAAGTGAGTACTGAGCAGTACTCAAGACGGGACAACACAACACTTATAATCACAAATGATTATAAACTTTTAATATCTCTTGTGGGGTAAACAAGTGCCTCAAATTTTGTTGTTTTCTTTTGTACAGAGGATCTCCTCGTACTCGTATCTCCCTGGAGCGCATGAGTCCTCGTCTACCAAGTCCTCATCACACGCACATGCACTCTCATGCTCACACTCCAGATCCAGATCTCAATACTTTCAGGGAAGCTCTTGGAATATCAGGTAAGGACAAGCACTATTATTTAAGTTTGATTTTACCTGCACATTTAATAAAGAGTACATAACATTGGAAATCTTGATATCTCTTTATTTTATATACACTAGGCTCACTGTTACTTGTTTATTAAAATTTGAGCAATTAGGTTTGTCTCTATTTTTAGAGCCATAACATATGTAGCTAGCATTTCCAGAGACTTGCAATGAACTTGTAAGTTAGTTATTTAGTACTTTACTAGAAAAATAATCAAACTTTAGTAAATTGTGTACAGTTTAGATGATTACTCCTTTGCTAAGGTCAGCAAAGGAGGAGATATGAATTGTCTAGGAAACCCCACTAAAGTAGCCAGAATGTGAGACAACCAAGTCTAAAGTAGCCAGAATGTGAGACAATCAAGTCTAAAGTAGCCAGAATGTGAGACAATCAAGTCTAAAGTAGCCAGAATGTGAGACAACTAAGTCTAAAGTAGCCAGAATGTGAGACAACTAAGTCTAAAGTAGCCAGAATGCGAGACAACCAAGGCTAAAGTCCCCATAAATTACACAGTTAGTGGTCTTGCCTACTGGTTTCATGTGATGTAATTTCCATTTTCAGATTTGGAACTAGTCCCTCAAAAAAAATTCCATGTGTAGTTTATGATGTATCTCTTGATTGCACTCTTGCAAATACAGATTTAGAACTTTTATTCAGTCTCAATAATTTAGATGACTTATAGAGTGGATTCTAGTGGTAAAGGATCTTTGCACACTCTAGGTCAGCAATTTCTCCGGCTGTGAATGGGGCTTTTAGTGTGCTACAATATTCCACCCTAAAGAGTACAAGTGTTTTCAAAAGTATCAACACTGGTATGGCATCATTTGTTTGGAAGGTCCTTGTTATCCAACCTGTCATTTTTTTCAGTCATGACAACTACTTTATTGTGTTCTGTAAAAGATAAGGTCTTCCGACATGATATCTCCTAAATCCTTTACATTACTTTTTCATTCAGTAGTATGATTTTACTCTTGTTTTATATGTGGTTTCCATTTATATATATATATTTTTCCCTAGTGCAGGAGCTGAAACTTATTTTCTTTAAAGATCATGTTACAGCCATCTTTGGGCCAGACCCAATTTACGTCAGGTTGGATGTTTGCCGTGTCCTCTATATTGTCTACTCCAGTGAAAATCCAAGTGTCATCTGCAAATGATGATACAGTACTCTAGTTTGTATCCTTGTCTATGACCGATATGAGGATGAGAAATGTACCAGAGCAAGTATGGTACCTTGTGGGGGGGACTGAGGTTTTCATGATGGATGATTCTTATTTTACTGTGTTGAATGTTACATTCTGCATTCTGTTCTTTAGAAAGTTAAAGATCCTACTTTGCCAGTAATTCTGTTTGAGCATTTTTTGTGCACAATAACATTATGGTTACATTTATCAAAAGCTTTTGCAAAGTCTGTGTATATTACATTTGCATTTTGCTTGTCTTCCATGGCCTCTAAGGCCATGTCATAGTGATTTAGCAACTGAGCGAGGCAGGAGCGCCCTGTTCTGAACCTGTGTTGCCCGGGGTTATGTAGATGCTGTGATTCCACGTGTTTTATAATCTTAACTTCTTAGCACTTTCAAAGATTTTTATGATGTGTGATGTTGGTCTATAATATTTTGCATCTGCTTGACTATCTCCTTTGTGAAGTGGAACAATCTCAGCTGATTTACGTATGTCAGGGATGACACCAATATATAAACAGGGCCTCCAAAAGATGTTTAGGGCCTGTGATAGTGGTGTTTTGCACTTCTCAATGAATACAGAATTCCAAGAATCTGTGCCTGGTGCAGAGTGCATGGGCATGCTGTCTATGGCTACTTCAAAGTCTAGTTGGGTTAGGGTGACATCTGATATATGGTTTGATGTTGGTGTCACATGCATGAAAAATTCATTTAGATCATTGATCTTCAGTGTGTACAGGGGTTCACTGAAAACAGATTCATACTGAAATCTCGGCATTTCACTCATTTCTTTGTTGTCATCTGTGAAAGTTCTATCATCCTTGTGCAAGGGCCCAATGCTGGATGAAGATTTTGTTCTAGTTTTTGTGTAGGAGAAAAGTATTTTGAATTCCACTCTATTTCACTTATGGCTTTCTGCTCTCATTGCCCCTCTAGGATATTATATGATTCTTGGAACTTGAGTGTGATCATTTCTATTTCCCTACATAGCCTTCCTTGTCGTTGATGGGAATAGAGTGGAGCGTTTGAGATGTTCTGCTATTTGTTTTCTTCGTCTGTAAAAGGAACTTCGTTCCTAGAACTTCCTAGAAAAAAATTTGCACCCCATGAATATCATAGCATTTAAAGTACATAATTACATGCGCTGTTTGCACTGTTTCTGAGAGTGCAGTGTTGTAATGCCTTGAAAAATGTGGAGGTGCATTATTAGAAAACCACATGCATAGTGAATCCATTCAATTTAACCCTTAACATGCTAGGGGTATAATAAAATATCCTTTCTTCCCCACAGGCGCATGTAATTTTGAAAAAAAAAAAAAATCTTCCTAACCTGTTAATTTGAGTTCACTGATCACGGGAAAAATAATAAAAAAAATCGTAAGTGGCATATATTGTCCGCTATAGGGTGGGGAAATCTGGCAAAAAATAGGCGCTGACTCAGCGTGCGTCCCAGGCGGTCTGTTGCTCGCCAGCTGTCAGGCCGGAGTTGCCACAAAGAGATAATTACCTAATTATTTCAATGTCTCTGATTGATTTTTCATAGTTTTTTTGCTGTAATATTATTCAATAGTGTGTAGTTTGATATATTTATATAATAAAATGAGTGAATCATTGCTGTACTCAAAAATATGGTGTGCATATTATTGATTCAATTATATTCATCAATCAGTGAACAAATACTTTGTTGGTTATTACACTATAAGCACAGGTTATATATAAGTATCTGCATGTTTTGTTCACCATAACGAACCACTAAGTAGCTATTATGAGTCAAAAAGTAACGAGGAGTGACCGCCGTGTACCAGCCAGCCACTCACGCCCTCCCTCAAGTCATCTGACTCACCCACATTCTCCTCCCACAATACTGTTTCTGCTTTTATTCACTATATACGGACGCTATATATAAGTATCTACATTCGTGTTCACCATAACGAGCCACTAAGTTGGTATGCTGAGTGGCAGTGGCAGCCAGTGGCAGCCCACTACTGGCAGCCACTCCCTCCCTCCCTCCCTCCCTCACCTCAACTGACTTGCCACCATTCTCCACCCACCATACTGTTTTTGCTTTTATATACAGACGTTATATATAAGTATTTACATGTTTTGTTCACCATAACTGTACATCTAAGCTTGTATGGTGAGTAAAGGTACAAAGACGTAGGACCTCACACAGTCACCTGATGGCTGCTGCCCTCAAGGCCAGATGCACTAATATTTCTCCAACAACAATACTGTTTGTGGTGTTATTTCACTATATACACACACATTATATATAAATATCTACCTGTTTTATTCACCATACTTGTACAAGTAAACTGGTATGGTGCCCAAAGACCATCGTGGTAACCAGTAAACAACACCGTCGTCTGCACGGTGGCGTCGTACAGACGACACCACCGCCCTCACCAAAATGGCGGCTCCCAACCTACTCCTCTTGCTGTTTATACCCTCTGTACACACGTTATATATAAGTATCTACATTTGTGTTCACCATAGCGAACCACTAAGCTGGTATGGTAAGTGCAGTCAATAAAAGGTGGCCACACACAGTCAGAAGACATCGCCACCACCCTCCCTCCCACAGCATTACTCCTCCCTCCATGGAGCACAGCGCTAAATATCACCACAATCCTGCTATTATCAGAACCCTGGTCAGTTTTATCAGTCAGGGGTCTTCTGTAATATCATCGCTACATAATAGTATGAATAAGTATATTATGGCTTTTTTAGGCGATGCTGTGGTCACAAGCTGAACAGCAGTGCTGTTAGCTCATGCTGCGTGCGTCAGGCTCACTCAATACTGAGGCCAATAACACCCGGGAGTTTGGCCCATGATTTTTAAAAAAAATGGCGTCTGTTTACAAGAGCCCTGATGAAGGTGCGGTGAATCATTCAGGGCCTCGTAGCCTGGTGGATAGCGCGCAGGACTCGTAATTCTGTGGCGCGGGTTCGATTCCCGCACGAGGCAGAAACAAATGGGCAAAGTTTCTTTCGCCCTGAATGCCCCTGTTACCTAGCAGTAAATAGGTACCTGGGAGTTAGTCAGCTGTCACGGGCTGCTTCCTGGGGGTGGAGGCCTGGTCGAGGACCGGGCCGCGGGGACACTAAAAAGCCCCGAAATCATCTCAAGATAACCTCAAGATAACCCCGTGTATCCGCGGGCTGTTTAAATCTTGCGTAGTACTTCCAACACGTCATATGATGTGATGCGCAGTTGAGTGGAACAACTTCCAACACGTCATATGATGTGATGCGCAGTTGAGTGGAACAACTTCCAACACGTCATATGACGTGATGCGCACTTTAAGGGTTAAACTTAACAACATAAAGGAAAAACAGGCATAGGCTCCATAAGCCTTAATTATTAAAAAAAAAAAAAAAAACTTCTCTCAGTAATACATAGAACACAATGTAATTGGAGCTAACAGCTTCCATATTGGATATGAGTTGGATCAACCATAGCTCACCCCGGGCAACCATGCATTCACATCAATACACATTGATATGAACACATCAATACACACACATGAAGCTGGAAAAAGTTCAGAGGTATGCCACTAGACTAGTCCCAGAACTAAGAGGCATGAGTTACGAGGAAAGGCTGCGGGAAATGCACCTCACGACATTGGAAGACAGAAGAGTAAGGGGAGACATGATCACTACCTACAAAATCCTCAGGGGAATTGACAGGGTAGATAAGGATAAACTATTTAACACTGGTGGTATGCAAACAAGGGGACACAGATGGAACCGAGTACCCAAATGAGCCACAGGGACGTTAGAAAGAA